CTGACAGGAACATAGACTTACAAGATGCTGCGCTTATCTTCAAAAATAATAATGCTTGTGCTGATGAGATAGATGTCCGGAATAAAATCTTTTGTAGCCATTTATGGTGACCCTCGAAAACATACCTCATTAGACGATATATTCGCCAAAGTAGTACCCAACACAAACATAAAGATAGTCTTACAGGGTGGTCCGAATTGTATTCCGGAAACTTCGGCAGCATATTCCGCATATAAAAACAAATAAAAAAGTTCGTATAAATGTTAAGTCCTAAAATGCTTAGCTTCGGAGATAAGTTTCATTTTCATTACGATTTTTTCTAAATAATTTCTGAAGTAACGTCAATGTTTGGATGAAAATTGGTGTCTGGGAGTTTTTTGATATGAGAAATTTGATTTTGATGTCAATATGACTCCTACTAGTAGAGGGCGCCACCTACATATGTTTTAACTGTTTTGAAGCGTAATCACTTTTTGTCCGTACCTGTATAAAACTACCGAGCAAAAAAATATACATCTCTGTAACTTTTTACGTAAAAAATATCTCTTTGTAAAAATCGCTACGAGCAACCGTTTTTAAGATATTTAGAATGGAAATAGTCAATACATGTCATTATTGACGAAAAATAAACACATTGAGTAGATAGTTATAGTCTGTCCAACGAGAAGATCCTTGACAGTGATAGATGTGTCTGTCATTTTAATTTCAAAGTAGTTTACTTTATTTTACAAAGAAATAAGTTGGTACAACTGGTACGCATAGCAGGAAATTAATATATTTAAACTGACTTTTGATATTTGACTGACAAGTGATTACTTCAATATATTGTGAAAAAAAACTGTATAGAACTGAAAAAATGTAATCGAGTTATTTTATTTAATAAAAAATGGTATGTGTTAATACAAAACAAACAGGAACAAGATATATCCAACCAAAAAAATATAAAAAAAACTATTTCTTACTTTCAAGCTTTAGGATTTCTTACTTCCCGCATTTACGATTATATTATTTATTAATATAACTTATGTACAAATACAAATTTGTAATATTCCACAGGAATAAATAAAACAACATAGATAAAACAAACTATTTTATTAATAATAACACTTACCAAATTTTATACCTTAAAGGTTGATTAATTAACTTCAATCTAAATTTTAAACCAGTACCTTTTGACATTATTTTTCTGCAGTACTAAAATCTATTATTTACCTATCGTGAGATGTCGATATTTTACAGCTACTCCAGTTTTTAGTATGTCTTTAGTATGGTCCTTCTACCATATTCGAGATGCACTTATCTACGACGAGATCGTATACGAACTTTATTGATGGTAACTTTATTGGTGTATAAGACTTTCTGTCTGGGCAGCGAGTATTAACCATAAACTGTGCTCTGGGTGTACAGTTAATTTTCACTCGATTTGTCCTCTACTTGACTTCAAAAGACACAAACGTAATAACACGAATCAAAATGCATCATCTTCCAAAACACAGGGTATTTGACAAAAGTTGACACAAAATTATAACCTATAATTTGGCAAGACTTTGACAAGCGTCAAAAATCTAAAAAATCTGAAGGCGAATTCATACGCATCGGCGTCCGTTTATCGTTCATCGTTCCGTCAAACCAATAAAATTGAAATACGATCTGTCATTTTTGAAATAAACCAATAAAACTGGTTACAAACATCAAGAGACGACGGATTTATATTTAAACCCATCCATAGTTAACTTAAAAATTATTAGAAACTTTTTTTAGTAAAATAAATAGATTGGTATGGGATGTCATCTGCTTTTCTTCTGTCATCGTCTGTCGAAATCTTACCTGAGAAAAAAAACAGAGTATATTTCACTGAAATAATAAATTGAAATTTTTATTTTTTTTTAAATAATCATAAATTTTTCTGCAATAAATGATGATAAAACAGTTTCTGTTGAACTTTTGGCACAAAAATATTTCGAATTTATGATTTCAGTTTAATAACTATTTAGTCATGTTTAATTAATGTCAATGATGACAGGTATTAATAATTTCGATTCCAAATATCTCGAAAACGATTACTTGTAGCGGTTTTTACCAAGAGACATTTTTTACGTTAAAAACGTCGTAAATGTATATTTTTTTACTCAGTAGTTTTATACAGGTACGGACGAAAAGTTATTACTCTTCAAACCTGTTAAAAAATATGTAGGTGGCGCCCTCTACTAGTAGGAGCCATATTGACATCAAAATCAAATTTCTCATGTCAAAAAACTCCCAGACACCAATTTTCATTCAAATATTAACTTTACTTCAGAAATTATTTGGAAAAAATTGAAGTAAAAATGAAACTTCTACACCCTGTATCTCCGAAACTAAGCATTTTTGGACATACATTTATACGAACTTTTTTACTTATTTTTATCTGCAGAATATGCTGCCGAAGTTTCCGGAGTACAGTTCGGACCACCCTGTATATTATTCGTCGTTATTGACTACGTGTATATCGTCTAGTTTCAATCTGACATATTCTTAACTCGATCGTCTTTTTCTGTAGGATTGAACTTATTCAAACGGATGCAAACATAATATCATTTGATATACACTGGATAGGATCGACTTAGAATGACATTTAGAAACTAATCTTCCTACCTTAATTTCTTATAGTTTGTTTTGATTTAAATGTTGATCAAAAATCTAGTTTTATTTTGTTTTTTTCTTATTTAAAATGGAGAACAATCAAAAGTTAATACTCTAATATCAAAAAATGCTAAAAAACTCACTAAAATATCTGTTTCTTCATATATATCTATTATCTTTGTTTTTTTGTACAGTCTATCCTTATCTGATATTTAGAAATTGAAAAAAAACTAAGATGTATTAAGGCGGTCCCAGACACTACGTGCATTTGGCGAATATATATTTGTTAATATTGCTAAACATTAATACTAAATACATATAAATATTAAAAAATATTGTCATTGGTACTAATCTTTAAATCTTTATTATATCTACGAATACAACTATTGATGTAAAACTTTTTATCTGCATTGTTATCGATATGTGTGATAATACTACAATTACAAAACAGCTAAACGAAAAAAAAACTACTAATAAAATGAAACAGAAAATTAGGAGAGAAAAAGGATAATCTATGTGTTTACGAGCACAGAAAAACTAATTAGTGTTTGATCGACTTTTTTTAATCGTGAGAGATTAGAAACACCTCCAGAAAAAGCAAACGAACCCCTCGAAACCGGAGCGATGGACGTAATGAAAAAGAATGGATTTTGGATTAAACTGTCCAGTGGCCGCTTTTTCCAGCTTAATTGTGTTTAGATTGACATCTAGAGATTTTGGTTTAACTCCCTTTTTATTGTCGGGTTGATTTTTTTTTTCGATTCACGCAGATTAGTGCAAACATAGACGAACAAATTTTAGGATTATTTAGCTTATAATGTCATATTCTGATTGAGATTTAAATAAAAACGAAATATATACCTGCGAACTATTTCTTTAATTTTTATTTTAATATATTGATAATAGTTTTAATTCTTAACAAGGTTTTGGAAAAAAAATTAAAAGCATATTATAAATACAGAGTGTTTCAAATAACATGTCTCAAGTGGGAAGGTTCCTCACGTAAAAATAAGGTCCGATTCTGCTTAGTTTCGTGACTACAGGGTGTTAAAGTCTTTTTTTAAAAAGTTTTAAATAAGTACTCATTGATTCCTTACCAAAAAATATGAAAAAAGTTCATCAAAACATGGGTTTGGAAATGCCTAGTTTTAAAATTATCGGATGTTAACATTTTTTAAAATTAGGTCTCTTTTGTAAATTATCTTAAATTACATTATTTTTTTTATTTGAATTTGTTGTAGGTTGGACTAATAGTAATAATATTTAATAATAGATTAGATAAAATAAATAATTTATTAATTTTATTTTTAATTTCATTGTATTAATTCCGATTAATATCGTTTACCAATCTCATCAAGGAGATCTTTTAATTGGCATTAAACAGCCTATCCAATTTTGCTACCAAAAGAAAAAAATCAGTGGCGTACATGTTTTTTTTTTTCAAAAACATTCTAATGATAACTCATATGCACATCCCTGATGAATTTATCGACACTTTTTTAACATTAAAACATGTAAAATAACTTTCTTTAACTACCCTCAAAATTTGGTTCGAATCACTAAAAAAACTACACTTGAAAGAAAATTATATTAAATCGAAAAAAAAATCTTTAACGACTTTAACCCCTTGTAGCTACGAAATAAAGCTGAATCGGACCCATGAAAGATAAATCTTATTTTTACGTAAGAAATGTCGCCACGAGAGATAGCACATGTTTTTTGAAACACCCTGAATAATATAAAATTTACTAATAAAAATTTAGGATATACAATATTGAAGTTCTTTAGAAGAATTAAATATAAAAGTGGAAATGCTGGAAAAGCTGTTAAAAGGTTTACGTTGCGATAACTGACTTGTATCATTGGATTAAGTTAAAATACAGAGACATTCCATTAGCTAAAATACGTTTCTCTTTTATAAACAAAAAAAGTCTTTAAAAATGAGTCTGGGTGAAGGCCTCGGATATATCTTTTCGCTTTTGCGAGGATTTGTGAGGTGAAGGATATAATCCTGCATTAGATCATAAGATGCTTTAGGTTACGGATAATCTATGGAGTCTGCCATAAAAGATCAATCCAGATTGAAGAGATGAAAAGAAAGGCCATTGGCCACATTGTTTGAAACACAGATTCACTGTAGACCATGAAGGAAAGAACAAAAAATAAATAGGTACATTTCCAGTGGTTTATAAAAAAAAACAAACAAGGCACCTGTAGGAATTTTTAATATTCGCCCGATTAAAAACATGCGTGATATCATTTTTTTTTCTGATTGCAAGAAAAAATCTGATTTTGATTAAATTAATTTCTTTAAAGTATTTCTTAAATAATTTTCTTTTTACTAAAAATGCATTCTTCATATGATATTTCTTTTCCAGGTCATGCAGTTTTGGAATTTTCCGTGGAGCCCACCGATACGGTGGTGGAATCTGGCCAATCAGCGGTTTTGGATTGCGTGGTCAAAGCTTCCTACCATCAGCAAAGCGTCCTGATTCAGTGGCTGGATCAAGATGGTTCAAAGCTAACGTTTTTAAGTGATCTATACAGGTGAGTTTACCGGTTTTTACCTGTTCTATAAATATATAGTTCAAATAGATAAATCTGTCTTAGGAACTGGCTCGAAGAGTGCCCCACTATTGGAATTACATGTATATTTTCTTGGCAGTCGTTGGCATTAGTTGACTGTAATTATATGGCAGACATAGGCATAGTCTTCTTCTTCATTGGCCATAAATGTACATTTTTTACCTAAATAGGGCACCCCTCGAACTGTAACAATGTATATGTTGGCAAAATAAAATAACAAAATGAAACACTAATTCACCACCAGTACACGAAAACAATTAAGTTTATAACATGGACGCGCGTTTCGTTTACCATGTTAGCATCATCAGCGGGCTAGACGACCCTCTGAGAGTAGATCTCAGTGGAGCAGTTTTTTTTTTCACAAATTTATGTTGCTTGCTTTTTAAAAAAATTGTTACTCTGCTTAAATTTTTATAAGAATTTATCGATTATACACGGTGTTAAAAAAATATAACAAATATTAAGTTGACAACCAGTGTTGCCATCTTTCTGAAGTAGTATTTCCCACGAAGACGGTCAAAATTTTCCGTTTTTTTTTCTAAAAATTCCCACGAGTTCTCAAATCCAATATAGTGTCGTCTACACAATACAGTATTATGTTTTTTAACTAGATATAATTGGATATTATTTTCCAAATAAATTTCGAAATATACTTTTCAATTTTTTTTTACACAAAAAAACTCATAGCGTGGGCATAGTCGTGGCATCAAAATATACCGTCCCTAGAAATATCATATGTTAAAAAAAATGGCTTTGTAATGACGATCGTTGACATTCCTCATTTGATTTTACCGTTTTTTTTTGATCATGGTATTTACACTTAAGTATCTAAAATTCACCATGTATTCTAGGGGAGGGGATAAAAGAATAATGTCTGACGCCAACCGAGTACGGAGATACCTCTGACTTCTTCACAAAGGTTTTTTGCTCCAGAGGAAGAGGAAGGGAAAGCAAAAATAGTCCTTACCTCGAAAGAGAGTAAAGGAACGAAGAAACAGCCTGGCCACCAAAGGGCAAGAGAAAGAGTGAGAACTTTTCACCTCTGCTCCAGCAAGGAGAGAAAAAAGCCAGGATGGAAAGCCGTCCAACACCGAGAGGCAAGCAGGGCCGTATCACCAGCTTTGCCAGAACTCCAGTGTGAGTACATCGAGTTGGCGAGTCATTAACTCGAGGGAGGAGGGCCATGGTCAGGTCCTCGCAATATGAAAATATGACCTTAAATCTAAGGAGGCAATAGAGAAAGAGAGATATATCCTCTATCATAGATTCGGGACAACACTGGAGAGACCAGGTTAAAGAGGTGGAGAAAATGGAGACAGATCTTTCAGTCTCCACTTCACGGTGGTTCCAGTTCCAATCTCCACCTCTCGACTACCTCAGCCAGAGACCAGCTTCTCAACTATGAAGGACGACTATGAGCCCCAATTGTGGATGGGCGGATACCCTCATAGGATCGAGGTAGATGTCCAGAACATCTGTTGTCAAAGGGGAATGGAAAATACCATGTTCCCCTACAATAGGAAAATCCCCATGTATGATAGACTATATGATAGTTAGTGTACATGCATTTTTCTGTCTTTCTCTTGTGAGTTTTTTAGGATAATTAGGGTATGCACTGACATGTAATTTTTAGTCGGCCGACTTTGGACATGGTTGCAAAAGTGAAAACAATACATTCTTATGGAGCCGATCGGGCCAATATTTGATTACATTGCGTAGCCTTAGGCTATGCGCTGACAGGTAATTTTAATCGGCCGACTATTTAGTTGCATATTTGTAACCAATATATTCTTATGGATATATATGAATATATTCTTATGGTGCACGTGCAATCAAATAGTCGGCCGATCGACTTCATAAGTATGTATTGTTTTCACTTTTGCAACTAAATAGTCGGCCGACTAAAAATTATAGGTCTGCGCGTAGGCTTGTTTTATCGAATTTCCCTCCACAGTCCAAGTCAGGTTATTCAAAATGTCTTGTTTTTCAAATTAATATTTTTTTTAGAAAATATGCGATAATTGTTTTGAGTAGTTTTTTTTTAAATGTAATTTTTCTTTATTGAGATTTAAAACAAAAATTCTAACCAGAAAACGAAAACTATTCTAACTAATGATATTATTTGACAATATGCTATTAGTTATGCAGAGGTTGTTAGAGGAAGTTTATCTGGCAACACTGAGTGCAGTCTCGAATTATCATCGGTATCGGAGTCGATTTGTGCTCCCACCATGCTCATTCTTAATCCCGCCTACACGTTTACGAACCGGCAACACTGTATCCCCCCTTTTATTTTGCGTCTCTCTCTGTCAACCGGTCAATTGTATTATTCTCTGTCGTATCCATTAAAATCCTATACACAGTAATTAAATGACCAGGACTGTATATGTATAGTATGAGTTATAACTCAAGAAAGGGACACAATAGAGCTTTAAGATCGCGACGGTTTATCCCCCTCCCACTTATTCTACATACTACATCATCAGCAGATAATTAAAACTAGTTTTAAACTTAACTTAATTTATAATAAAATTAATTATCTGCTGATGATTAAAACTAAGTTAAGTTTAAACCGATGACGATGCTAACATGGTTACCGAAACGTGTTAAGTAAAGTATTTAGATGTATTGCAGTGAATTAAGTGTTTTATTTTGCTGTTGTTATACCAAAGGTTCCAACAATTCTAGTAATATGGTATATTATGTTCGTTCTTGCTTAATTTATTTTCCTTTGGACACATATTTATAGCTACGTCGTGTAACCAAATCCACAATGAAGCAGTTCAACGTATAAACAGATACACCGCGTCCTAAACGAAAAGGAAAAAGAGAAAACATGGCACGTTGGCATAGTAAAACCTATCGCTTTACATTACGGATGTACGAACGTCCAGCTGTCACTCCGACTGACAGCTGTAAGAAAACTTACTTCTTGTATTTCTCCCAACGCGTCGGTATTGATTAGTCCTTATGCCGTCGTCGCCGGTTGTCTTTAGGAAATGAAATTTCTTCTGTCTACTATTCGACCAACTTTGAAAACTAATATTGGTTTTGTTTCTACGGATTTTATTAAGAAAGGCACAGATATATGTAGTTATTAAATGAATTCGATTTAAGTGTTCTTAGCAAACGATATTAGTAACTAAAATATGAAGATGTTAGACAAATAGGTAAAATAAAAAAAAAGAAAAATAACACAGTTTACTAATCTCTTAGAGTCATCTTATAGTCATCTAGGGTGTTCCAATATTCTGTGGACATGTATTCTATGTATTTTTTAATCAAAGTAAGTTTATGTATTGAACACAATTTACCTCTATACAATTAATAAGGTGCTTAATTTGTGGGCAAGAGGGCATCAATCTTTTAAAAAATAAACACATTTTTGTGTGCGATTTTGAGTGCCTATGTTTTTGGTTTGGTTTGGTTGTAAATATTTGACTTTCACAAAAAAAAAACAGAAATGATCCTTGAAGGGCGAAACTACCTTCATCCCTACATAACGTCTGTTTTTTTAAAGGACCTTGTGTTGTTACATTTTTTGTCTCTATATCGCTTAGTTTTTGAAATTTTTTTCATAAAGCTGACATACAAAAAAAATATTAAAAAATGTCTATACCTATGTGGCGGATTCATCTATCCAAAAAAATCCTTTATGTGTTTTTCGCCACTGCACTGCAAGAAAAATCTACAAAATAAAATAGTTATTTTTGGTAAACACTTCTGTGTTAAACCTAAACGGACGCTGCTTGTCAGAAGTTGTGTTTACAGTTATAAAAATTTGCCTAACAAAGAAAAAAATGCTTAACGTTTCGGAAAGTTTTCTCTTTCCGTCGTCGGAAGCAAAAAAAATATAAAGAATCAAGAAAAAAACTATTTAAACTATTTAAATTGAACTATTCGAGAACACTTTACTTTTTAAAACAGATACGTCTACAAGAAATCGTTCACGTTCTAAGTTTTAAGTTCTAAGTGTTTACCAAAAATAACTATTTTATTTTGTAGATTTTTCTTGCAGTGCAGTGGCGAAAAACCCATAAAGGATTTTTTTGGATAAAAAAAAATATTTTCACATGTTGGCGCACAAAATCCAGTATGCGCTAATAGCCTGGTTGGCAAGAAACTGAACAAATTAGGTACAAAAAACAAAGTCCTCCTACTCTGGGTGCGAGCCCACCAAGGAATAGAAGGCAATGAAAAAGCAAACGATCTAGCTAGAAAAGGAGCGAACACTTCACTAACTGGACCAGAACCGATCTGCTTCCCAAGTGCAAACCAACTTAAAGCAGATCTCAAGAACCTGGAAGACTCCATCTGTAACCTGGAATGGGAATCATTCAACGGTCCAAGACACGCGAAGAAATTTCTTGCGAAAGACTTGCGACCCCGTAAAATCAAAGATTTTTCTTGATTTAAGTAAGAACTAGATTGAATTGTGAATGGTGAATGCAGATTTTGTGGGGAAAATCGCGGAACACCAAAACACGATGAGTGTGCCAGAGTGCACCCACATGACAATCATTCGTGCCATAAACTTTGGCACTACTGATATCAGAGATGGAGTAGTACTGGAGACTCTGTAAAACCGTCTTAGATAGTGGCTTTTGTCAAAGTCCTGAACTGTATGATGATATGTTATAGCTCATTAAATGGGGACACAATAAACCTATAATTTATAAGGTCGCGGTGATTAACTTCTCCCCTTTCATACAATCTACATCTACCGAGTGGACAAAAATGTGGAGTGTCAGTCAGTCATTTTTACGTTAATTGACGCTCGGATTTATTTTTGACTGATATTCTCTAACGTGCCCAAACCAAACAAAGCCCTTCTTTATTTAAAAAAAATAATAATTAACGTAAATTATGTTCAATTAACTTATTATGATTCAAAAACAAAGTAGCATTTGTATATCTGCAGAATATTGGGACACCCTGTGTTTTATTTCTCGAACTGTGTG